CAGAGAAGCAATTATGGTTAACCCCTCATTTGTTTGGCATTTTCAAGGATTGAACTGTCCCACATAACTGAATTTTCCTGACAACTAAAACTTTCCTATTTATGTGCCTTGAATGTTTTCACCCATGCTTGGTGGAAATACTTCTGAAATTGGTTATCCAATTATCCTGCCTTCTTGAACAGAAGCTGCAAGAAATAACATTTCTTTAGATACCTCTGAGTGCAAGTCTGAGGAGACCTGATTAAAAGAAGTTTAAGTAGTTAGGACCTGTAACGGTCTCACATAGCAAGGACTCCAGAGCTGGGCATTCCAGGGCTGATGAATTCAACAGCTCAGTGTTGCCAGGCTGACTTTCCCCTTATGGTCACAAGGTGGGGTGCACAGCTCCAAGCCTCGAGATCTCACATGATAAGATCTAGGCACGAATGCAACGGGGGCTTCTCCTTACACGTGTCTTTACTCAGAGAGGAAAATATTTCTCAGAAGACCCCTAGCCAACTTCCCCCTTGGGCCTCATTGGCAGGACTGAGTCACATTTCTATGCCTTGGTCTCATGGAAGGCTGAGAGAGCAAATACCCAGCACTTTTGGGCTCTAGAGTGGGAGGAGGGCCCTGCCCATGGAGAATGGCTGTTGGTAGGGAACCAAGAGTGTCTGCCAGGTTACCAAGATGGGGAGTGAACGTCACTGACAGTATGGTAATAGCTTGAGGGATGGCTGGGCTTTTTGTTCTATGCTGAATGGCCCCAGGCTGGGATTATTTTTTATTTTCTAAGTCTGTTTATATTTATTATTCTCTCTCCTTCCTTCGTGCCAGACTGCTAGTTATCATTACTTGCTGTCAGTATACCTTGTCCTAATCTTGCCATAATTAGGGTTTTTTTTTCTGGAAAGGTCATATAATCAAACTTGTTAGAACTATGCCTGAAATGTTCTGAATGAGTATCTGGCAGCTGTCTTATGGATCCCATACATGGTGTGGCGTCGCTTTGGCCGTTCAAGGTCATTCTTCCATCGTGGAGGTCTTTGGAGAAGTGACAGATTTCTAGAGAGGCTTAGGAATTCAGATGCAACTTTAGTGAAGTCATCTTATGTGAAAGGATGAGCACTTGGGGACACTTAACGCTTGTTTACTAGGGAAAGCGAAACTGCATCTGTCCCGTGTGAACCCCAGCATGGTTTGGAGAGAGGCAGCAAAAAATTTACTGATGCATATTCAGCTCCCTCTCCACGCCGCATGGCTGCTGGGCGCTTGGAGAACACCACTAGCTCTGGGACTGTATGCAGTGGAGCTCATCACGGCAGTGACTATCCACCATGAAGCAAGCTGGCACAGAGCCTCATGGTGCCTTCCTGCGCTCTGGCAGGGGGTGCCCTGTGAATGAATCCTGTGAAATGCCCAGGTTGTACAGAATTGGAAGTGTTTGGCAGTGACTTGTTTCAACAAGTTCTTGAAGAAAGCAATGCTTTGGAAAGTGGTTATTGACATTATACTGAACAAGCGAGGGCCATCCTTTCCGTGGTTAGAGAGCTGACCAAAATTCAGTCTCTGTATACGGGAAGAAGGAAATATAGGCAGCAGTTGTCCAACTAATACTGACGAGTAACTGAACCAAATGGAGGGGTTCTACCCTGGGAATCAAACTTGAGCCGGTAGGTGGGTTGGGTTCAAAGGAAGCCAATAGTTAAAATATTCAATTCCGATATAGCTAATATGAGCCCAAACTGCGTAGAGCCCTGGGAGTACCTTCAGAACAAGTTAGCTGTGCGAAGGCCTGCCGTCATTATTTTACTATGCGTCAGAAAATCACGAGTGAGGGGTGCCTGCCTGGCTCAGTCAGTAGAGCATGTGACTCTTGATCTCAGGGTTGTGAGTTCAAGCCCCACGTTGGGTGCGGAGATTACTTAAACGTGAAATCTTTAAAAAACCATGAGTTAGCCTATAGGCAAGTGTTAAGTGAGAAGAACATTTGGAGATAAGGAAAACAAACTTTGTTGTGTTTTTTTTTAATTCTGACTGATTTGTACCATCCGAAACATTCTTTCAAGAAAAATGCAAAGCATTTCTCATAAATATTTTAGTTATTAACTCCTTCTTATGCATAGAACATTTTCAAAGAATCCATCCTTTTATTGATTCCTGACCGATACAGGCAGGGTATGGTTTAGTTCAGTTGAGCAAGATAATTATATTTTTTGAATTTTATTTTCTCATGTGGATTATCGATTTTATGTCTCAAGTACTCTGACCATTCCTGCTTCACTGTTCATCTAGCTGCTGTGTTCAGATTTCAATATTGGCTTCAACTATACTTTTTTAGGAAAAGCTCCATGGAGAAATAATCATGCAATCAGTGTTGTTTTTTCTGGGAATCGCGGTACATATCAGCATATAGCTGGCTGGAAATTTTTTTTTTTTTAAATCAGAACAATTCACTTGCCTGGGTAGATAAATTTACATTCACATTTTGAATTGTTTCTGATCTTAATTGGGCATTTAGGGGGTCAAAGTGGATGGTTCAGAACTAGGTGGGAAAATCATTTTTCAGCATGTCAAAATACCAGCAACTCATTTTCTACAAAACAAAATAACAGGAACAAAAAATATAACGTTTTCCAAAGCCCAGTAAGCTGATAGCTTGACAATCATGAAGCCTGTGGTATTCTCTGTATTACTTTGATACGAAATATGACTATACTTACTTTAAATTGGTAAATTATTGCCATTGAATTCGGTTATTCACAATCACTGCATTTCTTAAGGGAGGCTCATGCATGTTAAATACTTTTCACCGGTGCTGTTGGTGATTGCTTTGGGGGTTAATGTGAATCTTGTTTTATACTTGGAAATGTATATGTAATATAAACAATTGAAGCCAAATTAAACTATGTGTAAATAGGCATGCTTTCTAAAATTAGAGGAGATGAAATGAGTAATCAGAAAAGATATAAACTTAATTTTAGAAAGCAATATTTATTCAAAATGACTGAAGATGTTACAAATCGTGCTTTGTAATATAAAGGGACTCAAAGGGGCTTTCTGAATCAAATTATTTATAATTTAAGTTTGTTTTTCCTATTTTGTATTGTTTCCTATATGTTACTAAATCTCTGCTTTGGCACAAACAGGCATGTGCTGGCACCACACGTAGGCCCATGGAAAATGTGACTAACGAGTGGACATTCAAAGTCTTGCCACTTTTCTTGGGTTGTGGTGATTCATATGTAGAAACCCCCTGCAGCACTGAGTCAGAGTCAAATATATGCAGTGGTCTAAGACACTGAACAATTTTTTTTTTTTTGTTTCTTGTTTTCTGGGTTTTTTAAAAAGTTTGCTGCAAACCTGACTTTTCCTTCATGAAATCATTTTGGATGCTTAGAGGGCCTAGCCCAAGTCAAATGTCACCCTACACCGGCATGGTGACAGATGTGTAGCTATCTAGTATGTGTTTTCTTTTCATATATTTGCCTCGTGTAGCCAGAAAGATGAATCTTGTACGTTCTTCACAGTAGAGACTTCAGAGAATGGTAACCGTGACACAATGAATGTGTTGTGAGCAGGTCGTACCAGTGTCATTAAGAGCAGGAGGCAATGGGGCCCAGTAGAGAGAGCTCAGGATTTACACCATGGGACTAGATTCGAGCCCCACCTCCACCTAGCTGGGGCGTGAGCAAGTTAATAAACCTCTTGGAGTCTCAAGTTTGTCTGTCTGCTAAATGCACATGGTAAAAATAATGTCTCCTACATGGAATTATAACTCTCAAATGAGATAAAGTATATAAAAGTACTCTGTAAAGCTAGGAAATTCTATACACATTTTTTCTCATTATCGTATTTTCCTAAGTTGATGTCCCTGTCTGTTCTTTGCCCTAGAAGTGGTAACATTCATACAAATACACATTATATGCCTTGAGGAATGAGCTGCTGAAACAGTCTGTGTTTATAATGTTGCTTTGCCTCAAACTAAAAAGGAGTCATTTTATTTTTAAAAATTGAGTTAAAGGACCCTAAAATGAACAGACAAAGCACATAATACTTGTTAGCAGCAAACACTGGAATCAGGCTACCCTCAGTAGACATATGCAGTGTTCAGATTAGTCCCTGTTGCGTTCCATTAAGGAGCCCCCACTGGTTTAGGAACTATATGTGGTAACACATCTGGAGATGCTTCAAACTGCTGAGTAGCAGAATTCACTGCTTGATTGGAAGTAAAGTGATAACTTTATTTTTTCTGGTAGTCCAGTGGCCGTATCCTATAAAATATAAAGATTATCACCTGCCCCTCCTGCTCCCCATTCCAAATCCATTTTTTTTTATTTTTATTTTTTTTTAATTTTTTTTTTAACATTTATTTATTTTTAGACAGAGAGAGACACAGCATGAATGGGGGAGGGGCAGAGAGAGAGGGAGACACAGAATCGGAAGCAGGCTCCAGGCTCTGAGCCATCAGCCCAGAGCCTGACGCGGGGCTCGAACCCGCGGACCGCGAGATCGTGACCTGAGCTGAAGTCGGACGCTCAACCGACTGAGCCACCCAGGGGCCCCCCAAATCCATTTTTTAAGGACAGCCTCCATCCCACCCCCTCCATCAAATTCTAGATGAGGAAGATGCTGCCTGACCTTTGAAGAGTTTGTGATTTAATAGAGACTTTAAAAAAATAATCAACTAACTTCCCTACTAAATACTAGACAAGGTAAATGCCATAGGAGGAATTCACATGGCTGGGAGTGCCCAGCTTCTGTGACCATTTCATAGCAGCAGCCACACATCATGCCTCATATTGGTGAAATTTATTTTTATGTGTGATTTTCACTTATGTGCCTAGATTGTAAACTCCTTGAAGTCAGGGAAGGCACTTTGGTATTTCTTGGCCCCTCCCTCCATATGTTTTACCTAAATCTCAAACCGTTTGTAGTTCAGATAGAGTCCTGTACCCAACATTCAAGTTTAACCCATACGTTGAAACCATAACTTGTTTTCCTTTCTTTTGTCTTTGCAGTCGACCTGCCCCTGTTTTTCCCTCGAGACCAGCCGACTCTCACATTCCAGTCTGTCTATCACTTTACCAACAGTGGACAGCTTTATTCCCAGGCCCAAAAAAATTATCCATACAGCCCCAGATGGGATGGAAATGAGATGGCCAAAAGAGCAAAGTAAGTGAATCCGTTGCTATTTCCTATAAATAGGAGCATTTTGTTTATCTAGTCCAGGGGTTGGCAAACTATTGCTTACAGGCTAAATTCTGTCCTATGCCTGTTTTTGTAAATAAAGTTTTATTGAAACATTGCCATGCCCATTTCTTTACTTATTTTTGCGTGGCTGTTCGCATGGCTGCTAACGTGGCAGAGTGAGAAATTACAACAGATCACATAGGACCTGCAAAGCAAAAAGTATTTGCTATTTGTCCCTTTACAGAAAAAGTTTGCCAACCCCTTATCTAGCCTCATCAGGTAGATTGTTTTTCTTTTTTTTAATGGGTTACAGGATGTTTCTGAAATCTGTCTGTTTAGATTGGAGAAAAAGTACTAGATAGAAGTTAGAATAGCGGATAAATGATGTCGATGATGAAAATGTTAGCAACTACTTTCATATATTTTTTTTTAAATGGAAAAATTCACCTGATGGTAAACAAATAGGATTTTTGCAGTGAATACATGAATCCAATACTGAGTTTTTCACGTGGAACTATAATGTCTGAAGGAACAAAGTGATTATATACCTCATTGTGTCTCTACAGCCATTGCCCAAAATAGGGCCTGTGTGTTCCTCGACTCAATAAATGGCTACACAAATAGCTTAGAACTATTAGAATCCACAGGGATAGGGGCGCCTGGGTGGCGCAGTCGGTTAAGCGTCCGACTTCAGCCAGGTCACGATCTCGCGGTCCGTGAGTTCGAGCCCCGCATCAGGCTCTGGGCTGATGGCTCAGAGCCTGGAGCCTGTTTCCGATTCTGTGTCTCCCTCTCTCTCTGCTCCTCCCCCGTTCATGCTCTGTCTCTCTGTGTCCCAAAAATAAATAAACGTTGAAAAAAAAAAAAAAAGAATCCACAGGGATGGAAGTAAGTTGGAAATTCGATAGAGGTTGAAGTTAGCTAGAGTTTGGAGTTTAGGGATTTAAGTACTGCACATGAACCTATCTGTGGAAAGCATTCACGAGTCATATGGAATACGTAAATGTAAAAGTATGTTGAGTGTTCCTTGTGGATAAGACTTCAGTGTCTGGAACCCCAGTCTTGTTGAACCATGGCCTCCTAGACTGAAGCAACAGTGGCTTAAAATCATAGTTTCCAAGAATCAATCATGGTTAGAGTGGCAGGTGGCTATTACTTTATCACTCACTCTGAACCACCATATGATCATACCTGTGAGCCCAGCTGAAGGATGATGAAATTCACAGAATCACACAAATGAAGAATACTTATTAAGCATCCTTTTCCTTCACTCCTTCTCTGTTTATTGAGCATCCCCCATGGCAGTGAGCTCCATGCTGGGGATACAGCGATAAACAAATTGAAAGTTGTCCACGTCTTCATGGAATTTGTAGCCCAGCAAGAGAGATCAAAGTCTTTATCATACCAAACTTCTGACAGTTTTAAGTACTGACAAAACCTGGCCTTCCAGACCTAGAATGTTCCCGATTAGTAGGACTTGTCGCTCTTGCTTCCCCTCCCTGACACCCTCCCCAGGGTGCCTACTGGCATCCCCTGTACTTTCTGTAGTACAAAGCCTCCACCTAATCAGGATTGGGGCTCTGTTAAATAATGACAGGGCTGCTTTCTGTAGAGACACACACCTTCCCAGACTCATGTGGAATCCAGAATTGTTGTTATCTGAAACTTCAGTGTGCCCTTTCTCCCTGTATTTTCCCTTTTTTATCCATGATGTCCAAGTCTGAAATTGTGTTTAAGAAAAACAACAGACATAATCAAATGTACCTAAGAACAATCATTGAGACTTTGGTATCTTGAAATAGACTTGAAGAAAGGGATTAAAAAGTAAGCTTTATGTTTGAGGTATTGCAGTTGTTTAATTGTCTGGGCTTTCCCTGTGTATATACAAGATCTGCCCTTAGAAGATGGGCTGTTATTTGTGGTACGTGCTATGGACTCTGAACCAGACATGTCCTTGTGGTTTCCATGGCAAAGCTGTGTGTGTGTGTGTGTGTGTGTGTGTGTGTGTGTGTGTGTGTGTTTCTGAACTAGACCTTTTAGCATGTATGAATTGAGTCTTTAAGGAGTCGCAGACCACGAGCCTACGATTTCAGTATAGGAATATCGTAAGTGAAGCCTGTTTATCTTAACAGATTGGTTCAGAGATGCAAGAGACATTTGCTTTATGTTAACACCAGTCTAAAGAAAACATCTGAAGTAACGTTAAAAAAATCTGCTTTCTACTGTAGGGAAGATGGATTCATTTTAAATGTAATAAAAGAGAAAGCCAGCCACTCATCCTAGGAAGAAGAAATAGTTTAAAAGCTCGCTTTTTAAATTGAAGTGAGTAACTTTCCTGGGTTGTGTCAGAAAGGCAGGTAATGGATAAACACAATCAGAGAACTGTCCATGCAGGATAGGCTTAAGATTGCTGGAGAAGGTTGGAGAGAAAGGACAGAAAGAGAGAAAGGTCAACTGTAGCATTCCTTCCACGCCCTGTTTCTTTGTCCTCTGAAAATGTTGTATGTGCTCAGTGCGTAAAAGGCTATAATTCACTTGGAGAGCTCTGCCCATGACATAAACACTCTCACGGTTTATGAACAGCAGTAGAGCTCTCTGAGTGGAGTCAGCTGTTTATTCCCTCCTGTAGAGCAAAGTTCTAAACATGTGAACTCAGAAAGGACGCTTTCTGGCACTGATCCGAGCTTTTCCTATGACATGTGCTTCTTGCGCATGGCTGTCCGGCAAATTCTGTCCTCACAAGAAAAATGCCCTCTAATGACGGCGCACAGGCTCTGGGGTCACGCATGCCCAGCTCCTATCACAGGTTCTAATCGAATAAGCTCTGCGGCCTTGGGCAGGGCCATTAATCTTTCTGAACTTCATCCTGTAAAACAAGACTGTACTCCTCCCTATTGGATGGACTTGATATGAAGGGTCAGTCAACGAGTGGACATATGAAAGACTCTTGTGTTTAGCTTCTGCTTTGTCCCACTGGTGCCTTTGCTCACCCCTTCCCCTCGCCCTCTTTCTTCTCCTTCAGATCCTTCAGTGTTCTTCCCTATGGTTTTCCCCATCCATGCTAATACACAGGCAGCTTCTTCTACTCTTCCTAGTCTCAGTTGACTGTTGGTCATGTACAGATCTTCCTTAACTTACGAAAGGGTCATGTCCCTATAAACCCATCGTTCTAGTTGAAAATATCATTCGTAAATAGAAAATGCATTTACTACGCCTAACCTACCCAACATCCTAGCTTAGCCCTGCACTTCCTTCAATGTGCTCAGGACACTTATATTAGCCATGGTTGGGCAAGATCATTGAACGCAAAGCTTATTTCATAATATAGTGTTGAATATATCACATAATTTACTGAATACTGTACTGAAAGTGAAAGACAATATGGTTGTGTGAGGACAGAATGCTCGTATAAGTGTATCAGTTGTTCACCTTCGTGATCGAGGGGTGGACTCGGTGCTACAGCTCACTGCCTCTGCCCAGCATCACAAGAATCCTACCACCTGTCACTAGCCTGGGAAGAGATCAAAATTCAGAACTCAAAAGTACGGTTTCTACTGAATGCATGTTGCTTTTGCACCATCGTAAAGTCAAAAGATTGTTAAGTGGAACCATTGTAAGTCAGGGACCAGGTGTACTGCTGTGAAATCTCTTTTGTATTATCCTTTGATTTTTCACATCTTTATATTGTTTCATTTCCTTAAATTGTGAATTCCTTGAAGGCAGGGGCTTTGCGTATATATCTTTTGAAAGATATTTATTGCAGTGTAATTTACATACAGTGTCATGTACATGCAACGAAGTGGACAGGTTTAAGACTGTCTTTTGATGGAGTTTTGACAAAGTTACCTTCTATCCTTTCCAATTAGTCTCCTCATCGCCAGGACAGACACTGTCTGATTTCTATCACGTCTTAGTTTTTTCTTTTCTAGATACTTCTTATAAATGGAATAGTACAGATCATACTCTTTTGTGTGTTTTTTTGTATTTAGCATAATTATTTTAAAATTATCGGTTATGGCATTCCTTTTTTACTGCTGAGGAATTTCCATTATAGAAATATATCATAATTTGTTAATCCATTCGTCTGCATATATATATTTGGGTTGTTTCCAGTTTGGGGACTTTATGAATTAAGCTGCTAAAGAACATTCTTATATAAGCCTTTTTCATAGACATACGGTTTCAATTCTTGAGTAAATAACTGGGATTGGGAGTATGTGTATGACTAACTTTATAAGAAACTGACAAATTTTTTATGAAGTCTTTATACCACTTTACACTCCCATGGGCAATATACAGGGTTCCATTTGTTCCATATTCTCTCCAACACTTGGTATTGTCAGTCTTTTTATTTTTGGCTATTCCAGAGGGGATGAAATGAGATTTCATTGTGTTTTTTTAATCTTGATTTCCTGATGATTAATGATGTTGATCATCTTTTCATGTGCTTATCGGTATGCCTTCTTTTAAGTAGCATCTGTTCAAATTTTGCCTATATTTAATAGGGTTGTTGGTCTTTTTATTATTGAGTTTTAGGAGTTATTTATATATTTGTCAGATTTATGTATTACAAGTATTTTCTCCCAATCTGTAGCTTGCCTTTTCATTTTCTTAATGATGTCTTTTGATGACAAGAAAGGTTTTATTTTTAATGAAATTTATTTTATTAGTGTTTTCTTTTTATGTTAATGCTTTTCCTAGCCTCATAATTATTTGTCTACCATGAGGTCATGAAAAGATTCTTCAACATTTTTTTCTTAGAAGCTTTCATTTTGGCTTGATATTGAGGTCTCTGATCCATCTCATCCCAAATTAAGTTCTGTGTATGGTATGAGGTAAAGGCTGAAGTTAATTGTTTATATATATCCAGGTATTCCAGCAACATGTGTTGAAAAAAACTTTTCTTTCTCTATTGAATCACCTTCATGCTTTTGTCAAAATAAATTGACTACATATGAGTGGGTCTATTTCTGGATACTCTG